GCTGCGAAAATCATTTAATTGATAACGATTCCAATAAAACTTATATAATAAATTATTTTTAAAATAAAGTCTCGCATCTAATTTAATGAGAAAAAATTCTGTCCCGTTAGAATTTTTAATTATAGGATATTCATAATCATCATCATATTCATCAGTCCCATAGTATAATTTAAATCTATCCAAAGAACAAGGTTTATTATTATAAAATAAAGTTATATAATGCCAAGTAAATCTCCCATCATCTTTAGTGATAAAAGATAATTTTTTTTTATCGATTTCAAAATATCTTTGAAAATTATCAATTTGTCTATTTTCTTTAATATTTCAAATCCAAAATCTTTCTGTTTTTATAAGAAAACAAATTAATAAATCATGACAGTGATGAATATGAAAACATGGATTGAAAATTATTTTCATCAAATGCTTGATGGATTTGATGATCCTTTATTAAAAAATGTTTGTATTCTTTAAATTATATTTTATTATCAAAATAATTATTAATCAATTTTCATATAGATGAAGATAATAAACACATCTAGCGGCATGGTGAAGAGCGAAATAACTGTTCAATTAAATCATTTAAATCATATAAAAACAGCACATGGAGGAATGCTTATAACATTAGTTGATATATGTGGATCTCTCATAATAGCTTCAAAAGAATTGAATTATTCTTCTGGTATTAGTACAAATATCAATATTTTATTTACAAATCCTGCAAAAGAGAGAGATGTTTTATTCATAGAAGCAGAATGTATAAAATTTGGCAAAGCTATGAGATTTGCTGATATAAAAATATATAACAAAGATAACAGAAAACTAATAGCTCAAGGTCAACATGTTAAATATATTACGATCGCATTGAGACAATCAGAATCAGAATGAGCAAAAATTTAAATAAAATATTTTATTAATATTAATATTTATATTATAAATTTAATTTTAATTACAAGGATATCCATTTCTATTACCAGTAATTTTATCATGTTTTAATTTAAATTCTATTGCTAATTGTTTTGCTTGTTCACTAGTTCTATTTTTAGTAATAAAAAACCATCTTTGTTTGTGTTTATTATTTTCATACCATTGAAAAATCTAGGCTTTTTGTTTAAAAAGAAAACTAATTTCATTATAATTTGATGTATTAGTTTTTTGTAAACTTCTATTTAACATATTTTGTGATTGATTAACTTCTCGTAAATTTTGTTTACGGTTATCAAGTCCATATCTATTAATGTGATCTGTCATTTTCCAATCAGGATGAATCATTTGATGAAATCCTTTTTTTGTTTTATTTAAATGTGTTTTTGTATAATAAGTATTTGCCTGTTTAATAGCATGCCAAGTATGATTTTTAACAAGTTGATAGTTTTTTAAGTCACATGTCATGATTTGATTTCGAGTTAGTCGGACTTGAAGATAAAATTTTTTATCTTGATTCTTTACAACTCTGATTTGATTTTTAATTTTTTTTTTTGAATTTCTTTTCATCATACCAATCAGTCAGATAGATAAATTCTTCCTAACTCATTTTAATAATTATTTTAAAATTTATCAAATATAAATATTTATATAAATTTAATAATTATAATTAATTATTAATATATTTTAATTCGTTTTACATCTTTATTATCTTTCTCAATTTTATATGTTTTCTTATTATTACAAACCCTACTATAACACCATAATGATTACTATTTATAGTATAGCCAAAATACTTTATCACTCTATTGATTTCTTTTTATTTTTTTTTAGTTTCATTCACAACTAAAACATTTACAAAATTATTCTCAAAATCAATATTTGTAATCTTGGTAATTCTATATTTTTCATTATCAATAATGATATTTTTTTTTTGGATTTAAATTATTTGTTTAGCCAAACTTGCAATGTATTTATAAATATATATATTAATAATAAATTTTGTATTTATTAAATAAAACCAAATAAAACAATAAATAAAAAATAATAAATAAAATCAATCACAATTGTACAACAAATATTCTCTTACATACTCTTCAAGATCTGAATAAGTCCATATATATTTTATAGAATATTCTTTACAAATTTCATTAACCTTTTCAAACCAATACTCAAAGTCATCTTCATAACCTTGCTTTCTCCATTCATCAAGATCATGTGTATTATTTAATATACTATATTTGTATTCTTTATTTAATATATAAAAATACGATCTTATATGCGATTCTAAAAATTTCAGAATCATTATTAATCTTTTATTTTTCGTAGTTTCATTAATCTTAAAATTTACTTTGATAATGTGATTTTCAATTAAATATTTTTTAAATTTTTTATATTTGATAAAAAAAATTACATTTTCAATTTTGAATTTATCAATCAACGATAATAATTGACTTTCTTGTTCAATCTCTATATATGATGAATCAATATAAATTTTTTCATTTATTGTGGAAATTAACTAGGACAGCCAATCCTCTCTTGTTTCGTTTCTATTATAAATTTTATTAGGAAGATTTAAAGCAATTCTAAAAAATATTCTAAAGACAGCCCTCGAAACTATGCTATTAAAACAGTTAAGACCAGTCAGAGCACAAGCAGTGTATATTTCGCACAACCAGAACAAAAATCAAAGAAGCACAGCATCCATGGTTTTTAAATCAGAAGAAGAGCTACTAGCAGCACTGGCAAAAAAAATATATTACTACAATACAAGACTAGAATGGGGTACAACAGATGGTATAAAAGAAGAATCCAACATTTCTGCCTCCAGCAAAAGAGGAAGATCTAGGAATCATTTACTTAAACAGGAAAGAGAAAGTGTAGCAGAGAGAAAAGAAAATTCTTATACTCAGAAAAGAGATAGCAAAATCAAAGCAACCAACAAATTAGATCCTCCTGCTTCATTATTAAACAAAAGAAACAAAAATAAGGAGAACATAAAACCCAACTACAAAATCTACAGTGAGGGGGCTTTGAAGAGCCAGCCAACTCAAGAGGATACGGTTCAATCCATGCTACTGCAAATTATAGGCAGACTAGACAAGCTAGAAGGTCAAGACAGCTTATCTCATAGAATATTCGCAAGAGACAATCTTGCGGATCGCTCCTAAGGGTGCTCCAGATGCAACAATTAAACCTCTAGAAACAAATGAGAGGTTCGAGAGTAAAGGTGAGGTTGTGTTCCTAGAGAATGAAGGTAGATGGGGACATTGGGAAAGAAAGACAAATACGAACAATTTTATATGATGAACATTAGGTTTCACAATATTAATGGATTAAAAAATAACAAGAATAAGCTAAAAGCGATTATAGATTATGCAAGGGAAAAAAAAATTGATATTTTTGGGTTGGGAGAAACAAATATTAGCAGCAAAGAAGGCTCCTTTGCAACAAAAGACAATGACATATATATTAGCATATAGGCAAACTCTGACGAAAAGAAGAAAAAAGGATCTGGACTTGAGGTACTAATCAGAAAAACATGGGAACAACACATCACATCAATAGTCAGAGATAACCCATATTATTTAAGTTTAGTATTAGACTTTAGAGATATCACATTTAATATTATATATATATACGTAGCCCCAAACAACAAAGAGGTGCAAGAGGCGATCTTACAAAAACTGAAATGTAGTATTAGTCAATATAAAAGAAAACCACAGTGACATGTGTTATTAGGCGATCTGAATATAAGCACAAAAGGTTATTCGAGTGATGATCCTAGTAACACAAGTACAAGTCACAAAACGAGCCTCAAACAAAGAATATTACAAGCTCTAGAAGAGAAGTAGTTTTTTGATGTGCAAGAGCTTACACAAGTACCAACTTGGTCAAATAGCTTTACAGAGACCCGGATTGACTACATATAGGTCTCGAAACAGTGGAGAAATAGCATAGCTAGTAGCAAGGTGGACGATATGACAATTTGCACCAGGAGTAACCACAAACTCATACGAGCAAGCATTCTTATGGACCTAGAGTTAAGAAATGCAAAACTGGCAAGACGGAAGCGTCACTACAGAAAGAGGGTAAATATTGATGTGAGCTCGGCAACTAAAGAAGAATGGAAAGAGTATCAAGAAGTACTCGACAAGAAACTCAAAGACCAATAGTGCAAACACAAACTGAAAAACCTTGATGAGGAATGGGACATCATAGAAAGGTGTATTAGAATAGCTACAAACAAAAGTCTTCCAAAGAAAAAAGAAACTGCCGAGATTAAGCAGATCAGTATAGAAGACAAGAAAACACACATATTGAGACTAGCGGTTAAAGTTTGTTTCAGATGCTTTCGCAAACTTAAAAAAGGCTTAACAAACCTAGAAGAGGAAAATACACTAAGTAGCTATTTAGTTCAAGTAAAATCATTGTTAGGTACAGAGTTGGCAATCGAAACAGACAATCTAAATATAGAGAATTTGAAAGGTTTGGCCAAAGTTCTTCACAAAGAATGGTGTCTAAGAATTAGAAAAGCTGAAGAGACAGCAATAAGAAATTGCATAGAGGAAAGACATGATCGTATTGTGTCCAATCAAAGAAGAATGTTAAACAGCTTGCTAGACCGACCAAGTAGAAAAATTAGAATAGATAAGGTAGTCAGAGATAATGAAGGTAAAGCCGAACTGGTGTACGAGCCTGCTGAGATATTGGAAGAAGTTAGAAATCACTTCGCAAACCAGTTCCGCAGAAGAAACACAGCGAATCCAAATGAGCTACCTCCAAGGTGGAAGAAGCAATACACCCCAAGAGAGGATATAGAGGAGGACTGGTTTGCAGATCTTACGAACGAGGTCAGCGTAGCAGAATGGGATGCTGCTCTAATACAAGCCAAAGCCAAGTCAGCTCCAGGCACATCTGGGATTACCTACCCCTTAATTAGAGGAGTTGGAAGTTATGCAAGTGCAATGTTTCGTAAATTAGCTACAGGGTGTATTAAAAGTAGGATGATGCCAAAGAAATAGAAGCTTGGAATTCTGTACCCGATACCCAAAACAGAAGAATGGTGTTACAACCTGAACAATGTGCGTCCAATCCTGCTCCTAGAATCTTTTAGAAAAACAGTCGTAAGAATAGTAACAAACAGGCTAGCAAAAGTAATAGGTGAAAAAAGCATTCTAAAAGGCAGAAATTTTGCTGGCCTGCCTGGAGAGGATACTGCAGCACCTGTGCATCTTCTGAACTATCTGTTTGAAGAAGCAAAGGAAAAGAAGAAAAAGATATGGTTGATGTTTTAAGATATGCAGAAAGCATATGATTCTGTAGAAATCAAGATGCTTATGCTAGCCCTGCAAAGAATTAAGATTCCAAGCACTATACTTCACTTTATAAGTAATCTATACGAGAACCGCGAAATGGAAATTGTAACAAACATAGGCACAACAGAGCGTTTCATAGCTGGGGATGGGATAGATCAAGGAGAAGTAATATTTCCCCTGATTTGGCGTATCTTTTATGATCCTCTGCTAGCAGAGTTACAAGAAAATTGCAAATGTGGATATAAACTGGAGGTAAACTGGCCTACTTGCTTTAGCAAAAACACGAGATCTCAGCAAAGTTTGAGAGTCCCAGTAATCGCATACGCCAATGATACTACCTACATAGCAGCCAGTAAACATGAACTAGAAGAAACACTTGAAATTGCTCAAGAATTCTACAGACTTAATGATATTGAAATAAATAGCAAGAAATTAGAACTCTTAGTAGTTGGAGGGATTAAAGAGGTAAATCCTAGATATGTAGAATTTGGGCCAGCAAAAGACAAGATATTTGGGAAAAAAATAAATGAGACAGCAAGATTCTTAGGTGTCTGGCTTTCAAGAAAACCCAATCACTATTATGCTATTGAGACTGCTAAGAAGGAGTTCAACATAATAAGTAAAGTGATATATAAGAAAAGCATAATGCTAGCACAATTAATATATATTAACGATAGAGTACTGCTGCCGAGGTTAGAGTACAGACTCCAGCATTGTATACTATCAAGAGAACAGTGTGATAGATTGTAGAGTCTCTTAGTAAAACTGATTAAAAACAAATCAGACCTAGCCAGCACTACGGCGAATGCAATTTTAATGCACAGAAATATAGCTGAGTTAAAAACGTTTTGGCAAAATCAAACAGCACACCATATAACAAAATTACGTAAACGCATACACTGTCAAAATGATACTGGCAAGGCAACTTGGATCAGAATATAGCAAGCACAAATTGATTGCAAAAGTACCAAGTGTATATTGGAGTTAGACCTGAATAGGTTAAAAAAAGTCAGGCTTAGACAGAACCTGGTGTACAAAATCGTAACTGAGGCAAAACACATAAATATAAATATCAGATCAGAGGAGATAGAAAACAATCTTAAGCTCACAGAAGAAGGCACAGAGATAATAGACCTATTAAAAGAAAAACAAATAAGAAGCTACGTCCAAGAAAAAGAGATGGGTTTGTTCGTCTTAGAGCAACTATTAGATAATGAAGGCCTTAAACTATTCACGTGGAAACAGATTAAGAAATATAAAAGATTAAAAGCCACAGGCAAGATGCCAATTTGGTTTGCAAAAATTGAAGATGAAGTCCTCGAAGATAAAACTAGCTGAAGAGTCAAATCTAGCTTCTAGTCATTGTAACAGTCTAAGCTCGAGAATAATACTAGATATAATAAGTGTGGATAAAAGAAGAAAAGACTAGATCTTAATGAAGACTAAAGGCAGATTAGAAATTGGCAAAATAGTAGAGAAAAAAGGTGGAAAGTCCTATACGGTAGAGCATTGGATCCTAACAGATGACCAGGTTAGCAACAATATTAAGCTAAACAAGTGTAGAGATTGCAAACAAAATGGCAAGAAAAATGAAGACCTGGAATCTTGCCAAAAAAGCAAGGTTTTCAAGAACAAAGCAATAGCAAACAGTTCTAGGCTGCTTTAGAAAGTTTATACAGAAAGTTAACAATAGAACCTCTACATTCCGTTAAGCTGTTTGGCAGACACATCTCCTAGTAGCACTACTGGCATGCTTCTAGTACCATCAGCACAGAAAGGGGTCGCAACAGAAGTTGCTTTACAGTCCCTGGTGAATAAAATAATAAAGCAGGCTCTTGAAGATCCCCAAATGAAAGAAAAGCTAAAAAGCATCACAACACAACTAGAAGGGTATAAAAAATTGGCATTCTATACCGACAGTTCACTTTTAAGGCCAACTAAAAACCCGGAAAGAAAGAAAATAGGGATCGGCTGGGTAGCTGCGGTTGAAAACAAAAGCAGAAAACACAATCTTTTTATAGCAGAATTCCAAGGCACAGTGAGAGACTGGCTATCTTCAATGAGAGCAAAACTAGGAGCAATTTGGTTAGCTCTACTAGCAGCTTCTATTAAGGCCTTAGTAAACATATATACGGATAGCTCAGCTGCAATCCAGGCAATATGCGCAAGCAAGATTAATAACAAGCAAAGCGATATAGTTAAGAGGAAAAACCTATGCCTTCTAGA